GATCAACCCGTTCAGTAGAATTCCGAAGAAAGACTATTGGCAGCAGGTGGAGACATTTCTTTTGCCCCAGTTGAATATGGTGATGAGTAAGATTGAATAAGAATTGAATGAAGTGTGGATAGATAGGTGATAACATGAAGTAGAGCTGAATGGAATAATTGAATGATTCAATAAAATAGAAAGAATAAAATGGTGATTAGAATTGAATATGTGTTTAATGGATTGTAGGTAATATTGGATAGATGTTTAATGGATGATATAGTTCGATGGATATAATAATCCATTGAATGTTGTATAAATGTTGCAATCCATTGAATGTTGTATAAATGTTGTATAGAGTAACTTTTGTATAAATGTTGTATAGAGTAACTTTTGTATAAATGTTGTTGTATAGAGTTCGATGGATATAATAAAATAATAGAATTTGTAGTTGTATTGGCTCGAATATACAATGAATAACTTCCCCTACAACAGAATCCAAGATTACAATGTACAAAGGCCAACAATTTGACAAAAATTAAGGTTTGGCAGAAACATCTTTGCTGGAACGGTTGTACTTCATGTGACTCTTGACAAGTTGCCCAGCCGCAATTGCAGACATCAGCGACAACTCTCCGGCCAAAACAGACCCCGCCACCACCTTCGCCAACTGCCTTGCATTTCCTCCGGCGCACTCTTTATTTGCACCCTTCACTCCCAACAAATTCAAACACGCAGACTGTGATGCCAACTGGGTCCCACCACCAACCGTCCCCACCTCAATCGACGGCATAGTCACAGACACATGAAGGTCTTTCCCGCCATTAACAGCCTCCATCATCGTGATACAATGAGAGCTCTCAACATTCTGTGCGGGATCTTGTCCTGTAGCGAGATACACAGCGGACACGATGTTACTCGCATGAGCATTAAAACCGCCCAAAGCTCCGGCCATGGCGGATCCGGTGAGGTTCTTGAGCATGTTCAACTCCACCAACGAAGCTACATCCGTCTTCAACACCTTCTTCACCACTTCTTCCGGTATCACCGCCTCACACACCACCGATTTCCCTCTCCCTTCAATCCAATTCACCGCCGCCGGTTTCTTATCGGAACAATAGTTCCCGGAGATGCCAATCACATCCATGTCAGGGAAGTCCGCTTGGAGATACTCCAAAACGTTTTGAACACCTTTCGAAACCATGTTCATCCCCATCGCATCTCCCGTGCTACAAGTAAACCTAATGTATAGATTCTTCCCTGCAATCGCACATCGGATTGTCTGAAGCCTCCCAAATCGGCTCGATTTGTTGAAAACAGAAGCTAGGGTTTCGAAATTGAGCGGCTCCTCCAAGAAGAATTTCAAATCCGCCGCCCGTTTCGCGGTGGCGAAACGAACCACCGGAGCCCGAGTCATCCCGTCTTTAAGTAACACACTGGTGGCTCCACCGGAGACATAAATAGCTTTACAACCGCGATTCGTGCTAGCGACAAGACACCCTTCGGTGGTGGCCATGGGGACGGAGAACTCCATTCCGTCCAACAACAAGGGGCCGGCGATACCCACCGGAATTTGGACATAACCAACCGGCATCTCGCAACATTGACCTAATATCGATTCATAATCAAGCCCCTCAAGCGGCAAACCTTCCAGAGATTTTCCGGTGATTCTCTCTAACGCCACTCTTCTGATGAAGGCTGCACGCTTGCAGTCCCCGAGTTTCGATTCCAGTGAGTAAGACGGTGTTCTGCCGGAAACCACCGCTTGTATCACCTCTTCATCTTCTTCAGTAACAATTGTATCTGTTGCTACGATTACTGTTTCCACTTCCTTCTTCATGACTTCTTTTACAGATACGATATCAGATTCGCGAATAATGGAAGCACCACAGGGAGTTGTTTCTTCTTCTAGTTCGTCTTCTTCCTCTGTTTCTGTAAATGGTGTAGCCTGGACGAAGTTCATACCAAAGAATCCAAGAAGGTAGATACAGGAGGCGAAGAAGGTGATAATGGCAGCCATTTCAGACATGTTGACAACATGGAGAGGAGTGGAGTTTCTGATCTTCTCACGCCATCTGATAAGAAGGTAATAGACAACTGAGAAGAAAACAGTAAAGAAGATTCCCATCGGAATAGAGATTGCATCGAAAGCCTTTGGAGAATCCACCATCTTTTTGTTTTCTGTTTTCAACATCTGATCATCTGAATGTTGATCAAATTGAGCTTTTCCCATGTTTTTTCACTGACTGTTTCAATTGAGGGTAGAAGATTGAATGTTGTTGATCGAGGATGAGAAATAACATCAGATTTGGGGTGAATATATATAGAAAGATAGCAGCTTGTGAGACAAAAGATGAGTCTTATCTTGAGAACACTTAAATTGAATTATGAAGACCATATACGCATAGAGTCAAAGAAAGGTAGCAAACTTGAAACTTCCATTAAAATAATTGGACATGATAGGGACAATTTCGTGAAATAAATAAATGTGTATATAAACAAAAGTGTGTACAAATTATAGATTCCTTGTATCTGACTGATGAGTGTTGATAATTGATATAGGATTTGTTTTAAACGTGTAAAATAAACTTGGAGAGGAGAGAGAATAGTGTAGTGTATCGGTATCCCACCATAACATAGCATCGTAATCATTTTTGTGCAAAACTTTATTTGTAGGAGGCATTTCATCGAACACCTTTGGTGCATTCTCAAACTAACTCTGATTTTCAACACCAATCAACCTAAACACTGCCCAGAAACAGATTTATATCAACTTTGTTGCACAAACCCAATACCGGAAATGAATAAGAGGAAATTACTGAATTACCCCAAGCGTATGTATTGCTATAAACAACATTAACGTGCATGAAAGAGCCAAAAGATTTTTTTGGTGTTCTTGAAAACGTAGTATGTGAAATCAGTTTGAATTGCATAGAAGATAGAGAGTATGCTCTTTTTTCTGAATCCTGCAGGGAAGATAGACTTGACACAAACAATGGTGGACAAAGAATCGGGAGAACATTGATTTCTTTTGGTTTTTCCTCAAGCTAAAAAGGAAAAACAAGAAACAAATTATAAACTATTTATACTAATATTTTGTATTTATTTTATCTGTGGAAATATTTCAAACTCACCAGGATTCACCGGAAACCTAACTAGAATTAAATGGGAAAAAAGAGATTACTTAAATAGTTTATGTAGAATAATTTAATATTTTAATAATAAATTGTTCTGATTTTTTAGTTTGTTGATAATTTGTGTTGCGACAAAAATAATGAAATAAGCTATCATTGAATTCAGTGATTTCTGGTTATTATAATTTACAGTAATTGGTTTTAAAATTAGACAATTTGGTTATTAGATTCAATAAAAAAATAAAATAAACTTTGTTAAATTTATTTGGATTCAAATCTTTCTATAACTCAATATTTCAATAATATTATGTACTTATTTTATAAAGATATAAAGAAAAAAAGTAATTTATAGTTATAACGATATAAAAACGGGTGTTAATACATAAAATATGTGATATCCAATATATTAGTTCGATACAAATGCATCTTCCTTCTTAATAAAAGAAACCATAATCAACGTGTCATTCATTTCAATGCAAATTTCGCCCATTGTTAATTTACTCTTCTGCCCTTCGTTTAAATATAGCATATGAAGAACCTGCTCTTTTAAATAAATATGAATATGAATTAGGTATAAATCTCTATGTATATGGAAATTTTTTTAAATCATTATTTCATTCCAAAATTAACTGACTAACTCCAAGATTTAAGGAATTATTTGTGCATAAATATTCGATTATACGCTTTATTAGTTTTGCCAATTAATTTTTCAAATTTCAAATTATCCTCATATTCAATATTTTTACGGAAACTGATATCTTCCGAATTAATTTTTAAAATACATACCATAATTTCGTGTATATATACACCAATTCTGTAATTTCTTTGGCTTCTTCATCACCGAGAAAAGAGAAACAAGATCACTCTGCTTCAAAGTAAATTCATGTCCAATATCATGTTAGTATTTTATACAATCAAAATCTCCATATCATTCATATAATCTGTGTGATTTCGATATATATTTTGTATCTCTAATCTGTAATGTTTTCTCTGAATCATCTGTAATCGATCTGTGATAATCTAAATATCACTTAATGTAATATAAAATGCTAAGTTGTAATCGGAAAGGCAGAAAATTCATATCTTTTTTTCTGTATCTGTAATGTTTTCTCTGCATCATCTGTAATCGATCTTTGTTAATCTAAATACCACTTAATGTAATATAAAATGATAAGTTGTAATTGGAAAGGCAGAATATGCATACCTTTTTTTTCTAAGTGATAGTTGTGGAGTATCTAATCATTTATCCTTTATAATTTGATATATTCAGCCATTGACTTATGACTTATGTTAAGCATTTACCCTTTCAACGTCGCTGGATTTTCAGCTATTGTACCTCTATATAAGTTTGAATACTTTATTTTCTGCAAATATTCCATATTTTTTTAAATGATGTTTTAAAAAACAAATTTATAAAATATGCAGAAAGTATCATTGGAAGAAGATTATATGGAAAAACACAACAGTAACAGGACCATTTATGTATTTTTTGCAATTTTTGTCCTATTAAGTTTTATCATGCAAAGTTTGTACTAATTTGATGTTTTTATAATAATTACATTTTCATGTAAACATAACGGAACCATTTATGTAATTGTAATACAACAGCAAACATTCATGTACTAAATTTATGTTATTGCATTTATGGATATGATATTTGGTATAACTGATTTTATTTATAACGAAATCATGGTTGGATCAAATACCATTTTATCCTTCGTGTAAAACAACACATACATGTTCTATTCATACCTTTTTTTCTAACTGATAGTTGTGGAGTATCTAATCATTTATCCTTTATAATTTGATATATTCAACCATTGACTTATGACTTATGTTGAGCATTTACCCTTTCAACATTGCTAGATTTTCAGCTATTGTACCTCTATATAAGTTTGAAAGGCATACAAATAAAATCACGAAACTTTTATGATCAACCAAAAAAGGAATATTATATCATTGACGACTTTTAGAAACCAGAATCAAGATATAGATTCTTTTACCGAAATATCGTTAGACCCATTAAGCACACCTCAAAATCAATAAGTGGTTTCCTCTATAAGTTAATGCATATAAACTTCAATTGCAATACCAGAGTCAGGAGGTTGCAAATGTAGTCTTTTAATTCTACTTTATTGTGTGTTGTTTATTTATTTTTATTACTGTTTTATTTAACTTTTTGTATATCAATGTCATTTCCATTATTGGTTGTGTTTTTCCATATACTTTATCTACTCACATTATCCATAATACTTTCTTCTTTTATGTTTTGTTACAGTGACAATGGCAGAGAGAAACACCACTTTGATTAAAGATTTGGACAATATGAATGATGATTACACACTAAAAGTGTCTATCATCCGGTTATGGAGATCAATTTCGGATGTTAACCCCACTATAGTAAAATCAATTGAGATGATATTGATGGATGAGATGGTAAAATCTGCTATTCCAATAACAATATTTTTTACATTGTTAACCAATTTCTGTTTATTAAAATACAATTGTTTGACATTATATAATATTCTTATCCTATCTGAATAGTGTACTAAAATCCGAACAAGTGTCTATCCAAGAGATTTTGAAAGGCTTGAATCGAAACTGAAAGAAGATTGTGCTGTTTTCATCTGATCCTCCACTATCGCTCCTAACAGATACACTTTTAAAATAAGTGATGTAAAGGACAAATTAAACTTGCATGGAAGAACAACTGTGAAGGAGTGTCTACAGTTTCAATCCAAATCAACATACGGATTTTCTTGTGTTTCGTTTAAAACAATTATCTCTACAACAACTACATCTAATGACTCAGTTGGTAATTTTTTCCCCTTCTTTCGACTAATAGTATCTAATCTATTTTGATTGTATATTTTATTTTCTACTTTAAGTTTACATCATTTTGACATATTGTATTATATTCTTCTAGATGTTATTGGTGAAGTTGTTTCATTAGGAAAACTTGATTCCCGTAATGTCAACAAATCCAAGCATAGGCTACATTTACAGATCCGGAACTTAGAGTAAGGATAACTTTTCTTATATTATATTCATTACTTTTAACTTTGTATGTGTTATTTTTTTATTATATAATCATTTAACCATTATAATTTTTGCAGAGGTTTACAGGTTAACGTGACATTGTTCGGAGAAATTGGATACCAATTGATTTCTTATGTTGAAAATCATAAAGAAATTGGTTGTGTGATTGTTCTATTACAATTTGCAAAGATTAATGTCTATAACGGTATGTTTTTATGCAAAGCAACCTTATTTTATACTCTTATATTAATCATTCTTTTGAGTCTTTTATTTTGTTTTTTAGGACTACCTTCCGTTAACAGTCATTTTGATCACACTCGCATGTTCATAAATGTTGATCTTCTGGATATTGTTACCTTTACTGAAAGGTTACTAACTATTTTAATAATTCATTGGTTTTTTGTTTCTTTTAATAATTTTACTAATGTTATAATTAACCTCCTTAATGAAAAACAGTTTGGTGGTCTACGAGGACTTCAAAACCCTTCTTCTTCTTTGATTGTTGATACCTCTCAATCATATTCTGAATATGATGACTTTTTGATTAAGCACAACTTTAAAAATGTTGTTGATTTTCACGAACCACGAGAGGTATGTCAGCAATTTAGTCATCTTAATAGCATTTCTTTTCTAATTGACAAATATTCTAATTTTAATTATTTTGATGATCTTATTGTATTTTTAAGGTTGGGAAATTCATCATTGTTGGGACCATTTATGGGATTCGACAAGATATTGACTGGTACTACAATGCATGTACCAAATGTGGAAGGAAAGTCAATGAGAGGAATGTGTTTACCGGTCCAGAAAGTGGTGATGCAAGTGTGCTTTATGAATGCTTTAATGATAAGTGTGCAGATAAGAAAATATCTTCTGTTCCAAGGTTGTTTACTTTTAACAAAATTGCAAATAAGATAACTTTAAAATATTATTAAACATATATTTAATATTTATTTATGTGGGAAATTTTTATAGGTATAAGATACTTATTCGTGTCCAGGATGATTCTGGAACGATCACACTTACTTTGTTTGACAGAGATGCTTATAAACTCGTCAAAACAACTGCAAGTTCTCTCATAGAGAAAATTAAACAGGTACAAAATAATTATAATATATGTTTTATTACTTACCATCATTTGTTGGATTTCGTTTATATTAATGTGTTTTTAACCATAACAATATTATATCACATTTTTCCAGGCTGGGGATAATCCAAAATTGTATCCTTATGACATTAAATGTTTGGAGCATAAAAAGATGGCATTCAAAGTAGATGTTAATGAATTTAACGTCACAAATAACTACAAACGGTTTGGGATACTTAGCTTTACGCTTGATAATAACATTATCAATGATTTGGAAAAAAGTTAGTTGTTGAGGTAGTTATATAATTATTTTATCTGTTTACACTCTTACTACAGTCAAGGATAAGAAAGGAGGTGTTTTTTGTGTACGGATATGGTGGAACGGGTAAAACCATTCTTTGGAAGACAATATCTACAGCAATTAGATGTAATGGTGAGATAGTTTTAAATGTTGCTTCAAGTGGTATTGCATCGTTATTATTGCCTGGAGGTAGGATAGCACACTCTTGGTTTATAATTCCGTTGAATCTTACGGAGGATTATGTTTGTAAGATACCGCCTGATAGTGAACTCGGCAGATTAGTAAGAAAAAGCTCATTGATTATTTGGGATGAAGCACCTATGGTCCACAAGCATGCATTTGAAGCTTTAGATCGATCTCTGAAAGATGTATGTAGGTTTGACAAGTCTAGCAACTCAAATATTCCATTTGGAGGGAAAGTGATTGTTTTTGGATAAGACTTCAGACAAATTCTACCTGTTGTTCAAGGAGGTAGTAGACAAAACATCGTTAATACTTCTTTAAGTTCTTCATATATATGGCAACAATGCAAAGTCCATAGATTAACGATAAACATGAGGCTAACTGTTGGAAAGGATCCATCTAATATTCAAGAAATAAAGGATTTTGCAAACTGGCTTTTGGACATAGGAGAAGGAAAAGTTGGTGGTTCGAGCAATGGTGAAGCGATTATTGATGTTCTGGATGATATTCTCATTAATGATCCACATGATCCTATAGGTTCATTAATTGAATTTGTATATCCTTTAATTTTGGAAAACTTCAATGTTACGGGTTATTTTCAAGAAAGAGCTATACTTGCTCCAAAAAATGAAGTTGTCCAACAAATAAATGATCGTTTGTTATCATTGTTTCCCGGAGACGAAGTAGAATATTTAAGTTCAGATAATCTCTCTGCCAATCTGAGTTTGTTCATGATCAGTTTGATGCCAATTTATACTCCCCAGATGTTTTAAATGGTCTCAAAGTGTTTTAAATGGTCTTAAAGTATCAGGTTTGCCAAATCACAAGTTAATTTTAAAGGTCGGTGTTCCAGTTATGTTACTGAGAAACATTGATCAGAAAAATGGCTTATGTAACAGCACTAGACTACAAGTCAAATCTCTGGGCAAACGTGTTATTGAGGCAGTTATCATATCTGGAAGTAATATTGGAAATCAAACTTTTATTCCAAGAATGTATTTAACTCCTTCTAAAAAATCTCTTCAAATTTCAAAGAAGACAGTTTCCATTGGCTGTATGTTTTGCAATGACAATTAATAAAAGTCAGAGGCAGTCGTTATCGAAGGTTGGTCTATATCTCAAAGATCCTGTTTTTTCACATGGACAGTTGTATGTTGCCTTATCTAGAGTTCAAAGTAGAGAATGATTGAAATTGTTAATTTTAGATAAGGATGGTAGACTTACAAACAAAACTTCCAATGTTGTTTATAAGGAAGTTTTTAGAAATTTATAAATGATTCGTAGTTTTTAAACTCAAACTATTGTGTTTTTTTTATTACATTTCTGTTATATTTTATTTTTTATATTTATATATCAATGTCATTTATATTATTCATTGTGTTTCTCTTTGAACTCTAATCAAATTTATATTATGTTTTATAAATCATTTACAATATAATCAATTTTATATTATGTTATATATATATATATATATATATATATATATATATATATATATATATATAATTTTAAATAATCAATACAAAAAGTTTAAAAAAAAACTTAACTCTTAATAATAATTATAAATGTTTTATAAATTTTTTACCCGTGGTTTCCACGGGTTGTAATCTAGTATTATTATACATATAATAATGAGACGGACTCAATAATATATTTAAAGTTATATAGAGTATTACGTAATAAAAGTTAGGATGGAAAATTAGACTGGAAAGCTTGAATTAATTAGTGTTAGAATTGGACAATATTTGTGGTATCGGGTTCAATGAAAAATCACATACAACGTATTAAATTCTTATGGATTCAAACATCCTATTATTTTTATATTTGGACAATATGATGTACGAAAAACATATTTTATAACAATACAAATAAAAGATTTTCTAATGATATAAAAAACGGATTTTAAGCCTAAAATATGTCATGTCAAATATAAGTCAAATTAAGACAAAACTATATTATTACATTGTCACAATAATATATTATTATTTAAACTCAATATTATGTAATAAAAGTTATGATAGAAAATTAGATAAAATAATTTGATTTGATTATAGGAAATTAGAAAATTAGACAAGATTTTTTTGAATGGTTTCTGATAAAATTCTAAACTACACTAACATCTCTAACGAACTTGAACTCTCAACCCGTTGGGGATGGACACCGTTTCCACCTCTTGGTACCGCTAGGTGGCATGGAATTCTTATAACATCCCAAGCGAGGTTAGGCCTTGGTATATGACCATTTTCTATACTAAGGTCGCACTCAGTCGAGCGCTAAGTCGAGCGCTAAGACAGACACATGGTTTCAAGGTAACACCACATCACCTATTGTGGCGTCGATGGTAGGTGTTCATGTCGTTGTAAAGCGGCCATTGGCCACACCTCTTTTTCTCATTTCTTTTATCCTTTTAACCTTCAGTCTTTTAAACAAATATTATATCAAATTCTTACTTACTTTCTTTTTATTATCAACTACAATTGATCTAAACAATACATCAAATAACACCATCCCAAATCTGTAATTGTTATTTTTTCAATGGAAAGTGTACATTTTCCTTTTTTTAATAATGCCTCAATATTTTTTTATGCAAAATCCCCAAAGCCAACCCAATTCCCAGCCTAAATCTATAACCAAGACCCAACCAGAATTTGTATTTGAATCTGGAACCATCATGATTAGGTAAGAGCTCCAAAAATAAGAGCTTTAAAAAAAACTACCACTACTACTTGTATCAGCCTGAGTATCACTCAACCTTGGAGTATGGACGAGGAAGCCATTTTGGCACGTGCTTGGATCGATATTTCGGAGGATAGTGAAATTGGTAACTCACAAACTTCGGTTATTTTATGAACCGCATTATGAATCATTTTAACAACAAAATGTACCATTAACCCTATCATTTTTAAATGACCCTAATTCCTAAATCTTTTTCCTATGTTTTCATTGACATAATATCTACGATTTTCATTTATATAGTTCATTCTTAAACATCATAATTCTTGAGTTATTAGACTCTAAATATTATACCTTATAATTGCATAAAATCTCATCAGTTTTGAGAAATTTTATTCCAACTTTGCAAGCTCATAACTTGCTTATTTCCTTACTAATTAGGCTATCTCGCGTGACATTTTTTAGTCAAATATCTCCATTATAACTTTCAACTTCCATCTTTTTTCTTTTCCAACATTTATTTAGTTCTAAAAATGCTTCTTACGTTATTTTATGTAAAATCTAGTTATCACATTGCTTTCAATTCTACTCTTACACATATGGTTCTACTAGAGAAAGTAAACTTATAAATAAATTCATGATAACTCATAAAATACTTAAATAATTGAATTGTTATATAATTATCTTAATGACCAAAATATCCTTAGTTTTATACAAATCAAGTACTTACTTTTTTCACTGATAAATTTGTGTAGTTCTTACAAATATCTATCGAGGAAATCGCCACACATAATTGTGAGATCGTGATGTGAATTATGAGCATTTGATTTGGCATGCAGAATTAAAGAACACAAAGAACATGGTGATTTGGGTGCTAAAAGGTGTATTCGATCATAGTAAATGAGTACAAAAAAAGACTAGATCTAGAACTCCATAAATATCTCACTCACTAATCACTATGAACTACATCTCTCAATCACACCTCTACAAGTGCTATGGAACCAACCTTATATAGAGGTGTTTAAATCTCTCTCTCTCTCTCTCTCTCTCTCTCTCTCTCATGCCACAAGGCTACACTACCACATACAAGTGGGTCTACATGAGTCAAACCATCTACAAAGTCATACATGCATAACTTTGCACCCTAACATTCCCCCCCTCAAAGTTAGGAATGCATGACCCGCTTCAATCTTCCAAAATCGAGCAACTTCACAAACCAAGCCTCAAGCGTGACACTTGTAGAAATGAACTTCAAAACTTCAATTCTTCAATGATTTTTCAATCCGGGTTCTAGAGTGTGAGACCATACAACCGATCATCAATAGGTAATTAGGAGTATCCAAATCTCCAAAAGAGCCTAAAAGTTGAGCATAAAAGCACACCCCAAAAATTTTCAATAAATCCAAACCCATCATGAACCGGGAAAACCCAAATCACTTCCGAATCTCCAATTTAATCATTTCATAAATGCAAATGCTCGAGGTCACTTCAATCTTCAAGTACGCATAATATGAAAAATTCAACTTTCGAATTTCATATCTAAATCTCTCCCCCTTTTTATAATCGAAAAATGATTATAAAACCAAAAACGAATGAGAAAGCGCTCGAAATAGGAATTTTTCTATCCAAAACTCCCCCTTAACACATGACATAAACATTTTGCTTAAATCCGGAAAATCCAAAAAATCTTCAATTTTTGAATTCGTTCACGGACCCGATGCGCCCAAAAGAGCCTAAGATGCGAAACTCTATCCCAATTGTGAAACTGGGCATAAAGCGTTAATTCCCATTAACTACAAGGGCCAGTTTCAAAAATAATCCCATTTCTCAGAATTTTCAACCCTAGTCGAAGTTGGGTAAATTATGCCATTTCGCACAAACTCCAGGGATTCGAAACGAAACTTCTTCATTCTTCATTATTTTTGTCACCATTTTGAAATTGGGTAAAAAATGTTAATTCATTTAAGGAATAAGGGCCATTTTCAAAAATGTGATTATCTTCTGAAATGCATCGGCCTTCGCTTTTCATGCCCTCAACAGAAAAAACGAAGCACGAAGGGTCATTGATAACGAATCAAAATCAACCCTCCGCACGTCGACAATTGACTCCAACCCTTCACTTTTCAATTAACCCTTCGGACCTTCAATTTCTCAGTCCTCTTCGTCCTCAAGCCATTAACCATCGAATCCAAGTCTTTGATTTTCGCTTTTCATCTATAATACCTTGTCAACGAACCCATCAACTCCAAAATCGAATTTCCAATCATCGACATTGAATACTCTCCAACCCAATCCCTCGATTTCCAATAAATGACCCAATTTCGAAATCTATTCAACCTTTCTAATCCAACATGCTACCATCGATCAAAATTAAACCCATTCGATTATTCAACCACATTCTTTCGTCCTTCGCTTTTCATTCAACCACAGTCTTTGAACATCGACTCTAAATCAACATCAAAACAATCGATTTCATCCCTTTAGATATGAAATCAATCGAACACACTTTGACTTCAAAAAGTCAACTCAATTCAATTTCCTCTATTCATTTCCAAATGTGAACTAAATAACAACTTCAATC